GAGATGGGATCGAACTCCCTTCTCCTTCACTATAGGCTGCACTTCCAACAATTACAAAATGGAAAGGGGGTGGGGAATAACCTTACTAGGGAGAAACCTAACAAAACACTACTTCGGCCAGGCGATCAACATCACATTAGCATCAACAGTAATAAGTCATGTGGACGGTATATACCCTTCCTATGACATGAGAATGCCACCTCCCTCTATGGTCCTCTTCCCCCAAGCACATAAGCCCAGTCTCATCATGAGAAAAACATCAGACAAATCCCAAATGAGGGACATTCTATAAAGTACCTAACCAGTACTCCCCAAAACTCTCAAGGTCCCCAAAAATAAGGAAATCAGAAAAACTGTCACAGCCAAGAAGAGTCCAAGAAAACATGACAACTAAACATAATGGGAACCAATAAAGGAAATTCGGTAAAAACTAAGAAAATCTGAATAATGTAGGCACCTTGATTGGTAATAATGTACCAATACCAATTCATTAATTGTGAGGAATGTGAGGAAACTGGGTGTAGGGTATATAGGAATGTACCATTTTCACAACTTTCCTGGAAATCTAAATCTATAAAATGAAAAAGGTTATTTAAACATTATTTAATTGTGTGCTATCTCACAATAAAAAAGATGCAGGAGGTCCAAATTTCACAGGCCATTAGCTCAGGTGTGCTGACAATGTTTCTTTTCCTTATTTTTCTGTTGGGTAATTTCTTATCTCCAGCTCCCATTCCTCCGTGTGGCAGAAAGCTTAATTCTAGTTCAGGAAAGACTCAATCTCCAGGACTTTTCTTTGTCAGTTGAGTGCTTTCCCCTCCTGCCTTCTTCCCAAGGTTGCAGCCAAGCTCCCGGAGGCATTGGCGAGATCACAGTGTGGGCTGGGAATGGAGAGGTTGAACGTGGCCCTTGGTCATCATGGGCTCATGCTGGCACCAGTGCGGCTGTGTGGCCCATGTCTGTCCCCTCCCTGACATACCTTGCTGCCCTCTGTGGCGTGTCGTCCTCACCCAACCGCTTCACCTCTCCAGGTCTGCTGGCAGTCAGAGCATTTCTCAACCACTCCACACAACATTCAGCTGCTTACAGGGCTGCTGAGTCCCCCTTCCCACCCACTCCAGAGGATGAGGCCAAGTTCTCTCTGCTCCCTGATCCCTCAAGCCCACTTGGGCACAGGCTTCCTTTCTCAAAAACTCATGTCAGGGCCTAATGCTATCCATTGCCTCACCCCCACATTGCAGAATTATTCCCTCTGCAAGAAGAAAATCTCGTTTCATCAGGCTTTCTTCCAAATTTATTGTTTTGGGCATAGCCTTTGTGTTCTTAGGAGACTCAGTTTTAGTATTCAGAACCTTTTCTCTCTTATTCCCTCCACGGTGAGTTCCAAGAGCATTTTGAAACTCAGAAGTCAAGTGCTGAGTTCTTGCTTTCGCTTTGCATTCCTCCCATAGTAATCCTACTCTGCAGGCAGTAAATGCTGAGGCCCTCACTGCTACCTAAACAGTCCAGAAAGGTCAAGAACTTGAAAAATAAAAACTGCTGGGGGGTGAGGGGGGCAGGTTGTATATCATGCAGCCGCAGAAAGATTCATAATACCGTATTAGTGGTACTTGGGAAATGGCAACTGGAAAAGGTCCTCTGGTGTGGGAGGGTTCTCAGGTGAGAGCCACTTCTGGGTATTGGGAGTTGGCTGGAAAGAGAATGTGACTGAGAGGTAATTAGACTGCTAAGGGTGTTGGGGATCAAGGTGGGCACGGAATACATGTATTTGGGTATGAGGCACTCTCTAGGGTCGAGACCCAGACATTGACCAATTCTTCTATCTCAACTAGAGTCAATTCCAAGAAAGAGATGTAGAAGATTTGGGTCTGAGTGTGGAACATGCATGAAGGCTCACCCAGACTAGAATAAGAGAAAGGACTGCACCCAGGTTGCTGTGCTGTTCCTTCTGCCATCTGAGCAGTGGAGGGGAATCTAAACAGGGTTTCATGACAGCTGCTGTTGGTCTGTCAATCCTACCCAACCTTCAAAATTCAGCTCAGATTTCATCCCCTTTCATGGTGCTCCTGCATAACTCAAATTGACCTGCTCCCTTCTCTGCATTCTGCAGCACCAGTCGTTCTGGCATTTGAGCATTACTGCATTCCATTGTGTATGTCATTTGTGTTTAATTGTCCTGCCTACAAGATGAGGAGATCCTTTGCAATCAGTACACAAGCATCAGCAAGTCTCCTGTGTGTGCCTAGAACTGTAACAGGCCAGAAGATCCGAAGCAAAAGAAACAGCAAAAGCCAGCTGGGACAGACACTGCAAGTTGTCTGCTCAATATCCTTTCTCTCCTTCCTAGCAGAACCCATGCCTGGCTAAAACACTCCATTTCCCAGCTATGGTGGCCATGTGACTTCGCGCTGGCAGATGGGATGTAAGTGGAAGGGACTGAGCAGGGCTCACAAGAAAATCTTCAGACTCAGCATGTGCATGCCCTTTGCCCTTTACCCTTTGTCCTCTCTTCTCCAAAACATAGACAAAATGCTCGAGGTAAAGAGGCCACTGTGTGACTATGAGAGGCTGAACATGAGGACAGAAGCACATGGAACAGATGATTGAGTGAGCTGCCCAGCTCCGGACTTCTTGTTCCCTACAAGACAAAGACCTGGCTTTAGTTGCGTGGCTATAAGCTGTGCGGCCAAAACAGCTCCTTACGGATAGACCAGCCATGGTTTTCTATAAGTGTTTTTCAAACTTTCCCACCAAAAAACCTTGAAGATGGAGGAGGGTGAAGAGACAAGGGGAAGTTGTATCCTTGGAGGCTGGGAAAGGGAACCCAAACAGATACCACAAGACGAACATGTCTTTAAAGTTGCTGGCTTTTTCTTAGAAATGCATGTGAATTTTTCCTTTTCCTTAAACACCTGCATTTATTTTAACAAATAATGTCTTAACTAGGAGTTGCTTTGGGTTGGATTGTGTCCTCTTCCCCGCCTCCTAAAAAAGATACATTGAAGGGTTAACCCCCAGCACCATAAAAGGTGAGCTTATTTGGAAGTAGGGTCATTTTGCAGATATAATTAGTGAAGAGGTGGTCATACTGGAGTAGGTTGAGCTCCTAATCCAATGTGACCGTGTCCGTATAAGAAGATTGCCCTGCCCTAACTGGTTTGGCTCAGTGGATAGAGTGTCGGCCTGAGGACTGAAGGGTCCCAGGTTCGATTCCAGTCAAGGGCATATAACTTGGTTGCGGGCACATCCCCAGTGGGGGGTGTGCAGGAGGCAGCTGATCAATGTTTCTCTCTCATTGATGCTTCTAACTCTCTATCCCTCTCCCTTCCTCTCTGCAAAAAATCAATAAAATAGCTGAAACCGGTTTGGCTCAGTGGATAGAGCGTCAGCCTGCGGACTGAAAGGTCCCAGGTTCGATTCCGGTCAAGGGCATGTACCTGGGTTGCGGGCACATCCCCAGTAGGAGGTGTGCAGGAGGCAGCTGATCGATGTTTCTCTCTCATCGATGTTTCTAGCTCTCTATCTCTCTCCCTTCCTCTCTGTAAAAAATCAATAAAATATATTTTAAAAAATCAATAATATATATATATATATATATATATATTTTTTTTTTTTTTTTTTTTTTTTAAGAAGATGGGCCTATGAAACAGAAACTCCCAGGGAGAATGCCACATGGAAGTGGAGGATTGCAGTGAAGCGTCTACAGCCAAAGGATGCCAAAGATTGCTGGCAAACCAGATTCTAGGAGGTAGGCAAGGAAGGCTTTCCTGGCAGGTTTCAGAGGGAGCATGGCCCTGTTGGCACTTTGATCTCAGACTTCCAACCTCCAGAACAGAGGCAATAGATTTCAACTGTCCTAAGTAACTACTGTTGGGGTAGCTTAGGAATTCACAAGCTAATCTTGTCCTCCAAATTTTTGAGTGAAAACTGTCATTCTAGAAAGAGAAAGTTATATGTTGATCTTCTAGATCAGAGGTTCTCAACCTGTGGGTCACGACCCCTTTGGGGGTCGAACGACCCTTTCACAGGGTCGCCTAAGACCATCCTGCATATCAGATATTTACATTACAATTCATAACAGTAGCAAAATTACAGTTACAAAGTAGCAACGGAAATAATTTTATGGTTGGGGTCACAACATGAGGAACTGCATTTAAAGGTCCAAAAGGTTGAGAACCACTGTTCTAGATGCTATTTGATGGGTGCTTATGATAAAGGAAAGGAAAGAATCCAGAGGACCATGGGGAGTTTCAACTTAGGGCTACCAGAGTAAATTAGTGTTAAGACATGCTATAGAGCCGAAACCGATTTGGCTCAGTGGATAGAGCGTCGGTCTGTGGACTGAAAGGTCCCAGGTTCGATTCCAGTCAAGGGCATGTACCTGGGTTGCGGGCACATCCCCAGTGGGGGGTGTGCAGGAGGCAGCTGATCGATGTTTCTCTCTCATCGATGTTTCTAACTCTCTATCTCTCTCCCTTCCTCTCTGTAAAAAATCAATAAAATATATTAAAAACAAAAAGACATGCTATAGAAATGTCCACATGAAAACTTGAGCTATGGGCTGGACCTCTGGCCAGAGTTCGAACTCTAACTCTTAATTTGAGCTAAAGGGCATGAAGAAACCTGGAGCTTCTAGGCTTGACTAGTCTGCCAAGGAGATGAGTGTGAAAGATGAGTATGGCATGGGGTGGGGCTGGGTTGTGGTACCACACAGTGGGGGGCTCTGGTTAGTAGTGTGACTTAAAGTTCACTGAGTGTCCCCAGTTGGCCCTGGAGCAGATTAAGAAGCATGGGGAGCCCGGCTGGCATGGTTCAGTGCTTGAGCACCAACCTATGAACCAGGAGATCGTGGTTCAATTCCTGGTCAGGGCACATGCCAGGGTTGCAGTCTCAGTCCCCAGCGTGGGACATGCAGAAGGCAGCTAATCAATGACTCTCTCTCATCGTCAATGTTTCTATCTCTCTCTCCCTCTCCCTTCCTCTCTGAAGTCACTAAGGAAGAAAGAGAAGGAGGAGGAGGAGGAGCAGGACCAGGAGCAGGAGCACGTGGAAGAAGAAGAGAAGACCCACAGGGCCCAGGACATCTCATTCAGCCAAGACACACTAAATCTGCTCACAAATGACTCCAAGTGAACCCAGCTTCTTGGATCCCTTTGACTTGGGGTGACCTCTACTAAGCCACAAAGCCAGAAAGGTCCAGGCCAGGGCCCTGCTTGGCCTGCCTCTTTGACATATTCGCAGGCACAGGCCTTGGGAATGACTGACTGGCCTTCAGGGTGGAGTAGGAAGGGTTTGTTGAGCCCCTTCACACTAGTACTTTTTCCAGTCATTGAGGTACCTCTGAATATACAAATCAAGCAGAGGCCCTGGTGGTAGGGAGAAGGGGAATTACGTGAAATGATCCTGGAAAAGGACCAGGGCATTTGAAGTGCACAGGGGGCGAAATGTGTGTGTGTGTGTGTACATACTAGTACACATGTGTGTCTGCACACACAGTTATGCCTGCCTGCACTTGGGTTAGCAGTTAATAAAGATCTTGATCTGGTAGCAGGGAAACCCAACAATACAGGAAGAAAAGATAAAGGCAGACTTGGCTTTGAAATGAGCTCACGTTTGGAGGAGGCAAGGTTTTACTATTGCTGGTAAGTGAATGAGAAGAGTGTCTAGAAGAAATGACAATATTTCTATTTGTTGCTTTGGCTTCAAATTGATCAGTGTTACAGGCTTATTGCTTATTAACTGCGGACTTTCTGTTCCTGGCCAGTAACTCAGAGTTCCAAATTGAACCCCCAGCCCAAAACGTGCAGAATCTGAAATTCTACCAGGTGAGATTTATCCATTCTGATCCTGGCCAACTTTTGGTCTTCAAGATTTCTTTTTAAAGGATAAGTACTCCCAGGAGTACTAACACCTTAAACCTTCCTTTATCGCTTAATGCATTCTAGAGAGGATTAGTGGATTAGCCCAGGGTTGGCCTGGAGTAAAGAGAGATGAAAGAAGGAAAAGAGAGATGGAAGGCACCAATACAAAAGAAAGAACCCACTTTTCCCTGGCCTGTTGACTCAGTTAGTTGGAGTGCCATCCTGTATACCAAAATGTTGTGGGTTCAATTCCAGCTCAGAGCACATACCTAGGTAGCAGGTTTGAGCCCAGGTTGGGACTCCTATAAAAGCCAACCCCAATCCATGTTTCTCTCTCACATGATGTTTCTCCTTCTCCCCCTCCTCCTCCTCCTCCACCTCCTCCTCCTCCTCCTCTTCCTCCTCCTCCTCCTTCCTCTCTCTCTCTTTCCCTCCCTCCCTTTCTCTCTAAAATCAATAAACCATATCCTCAGGTGAGGATAAAAAAAAAAAAATGCACCCACTTTGCCTTGGCCTACAGCTGGTTTTACTGCTTCTGTCAAGTGTAGGCCCTGAGAAAGGTCTGACCCTGTTTTGTTGTTGTTGTTTGTAGGAAGAGGGAAGATTTTATATTTCAGGGTGATTGGGCACCGACTGAAGGCTTCCCATCACACACAGGAAGCCATGTAAAGACTCCGTGTCCAGTTTTTGGGGCTTTTCTAGGAATCTTGATTTATTTATGCAGTAAACATTTATTGAGCCCCTGCTATGCAGCAGACACTTTTAAAAACCACACTAACCAAAACAAGCAAAAATGCTTGCCCCCACAGAGCAAACTTTCTAGTAGGGTGGAGAGAAAAACAATAAACCAGTAAAATGCATAGTGGTCCAATGACAATATGTACAAGGGAGAAGAGTCAGGCAGAAACATGAGAAGGTCGGGGTGAGGAGTGGTGGGCAACATTAGATGTGACATTTGAGCAAAGATCAGAATGAGAGAATGAACCAAGTGGATATCTGCGGGACAGGAGAGGAAACAGCACGTGCAAAGGCCCTGAGGCAACACAGTGTGCACACCTTTGGGAGGAACATAGGGGAGGACACTGAAGTACAGAGTGGAGAAAAACAGGAGATGCAACAGGTGAAATGCAGGAACCTCATCACATAAAAATCTTGTAGGTGCAATTATAGGGACTCTTTTCCTGAGGTCACAAGGGTGGAGGAAGGGCGGGGATGGGGAAGGTGAGTGTCTCTAGCTAAAAGCACCTCACTAGAAAGGAAATCAGTTCCAGCTCTTCACAACCTCTGAGAAGCAAGGGAAGGAACTAATATCTATTGCTTGAAAGATATTATCTGGATTTTTCCAAGGTGGTGGGGCTGGCATTTGAAACATTTAAAAGCCATGCTCTGTCATTCGCTCACTCTCCTCACCCCAGTCCCCACCTTGGTGACATCTCAGATCCCTGGTCTTCTTGTCTTCCTGTCTCTTCCACTCTCTCTGACATGATCTAATTGGTGTCCCTGTATATTTATCTTGCCTGAGATAGAATGAAGGAGAAGCCATGACATGTGTAGGTGAGGCTATATTGAACAGCAGGGGAGCAGTAAGTCACATGTCCCCGATCCAGAACTTGCAGAACTTTCACCCTAGACAGAAGATGGCCAGATTATTTTACCCTGGAGCCCTACCAAAATAATAAAGAGCTTACATTATGTGCTCTGCCTTTAAGGAGACTCATCTGCATTTGAAGATGCTGGCCGCGTGGTATTTAATTTCCCTTTAATAAATAAAGACTTACGTGCGAGCTGTTTTAGAATTTGGCAGTAGGAAAGCTGGTCTCCTACAGAGGGCTGTGCTTCCTTTTATGAGCTAATGCAAATGATGGAAAGCGTGTTTCTTTTTATTTCTTGGAAGTCAAGATGCTCAGAATTAGGTTATTTGCTGACTTGAGACCCTGCGTTATAGTGGTGAGTTAACAAGCCAGGGAAAGTTGAATATTCTCGATAATGGGATGTTATTTGTCTCTGCAGGTGCCTGAGGCCAGGGAAATCGGGGAGCCACAAAGGGGTTAACAACTGGCGATTCAACAACTGAGGAGGGGCATCTGCCTCAGAAAGGGCCCTGCCTCTGGACCTTCTCCATTTCGGCGTCACCCCAACCATTGCTCCTTTGACCATAATCCCAGGGACCTTCCCGAAGCAGGGGGTGGGTTGTGCCTCTCCTCACAAATCTTCGGTTCACTCCCTGCCCTTCAGAGTGCTCTTCAGACCCTTTGCATGACATTAAAGAACCACCTTATTGGTGTCCCAAACCTCAGAATCTCTTGGAGTCTTTTTTAAAAATTGATTTCAAAGAGGAAGGGAGAGGGAGAGAGAGATAGAAACATCAATGATGAGAGAGAATCATTGACCAGTTGCCCCCTGCACACCCCACACTGGGGATCAAGCCCACAACCAGGGCATGTGCCCTGACCGGGAATCGAACTGTGACCTCCTGGTTCATAGGTCGATGCTCAACTACTGAGCCATGCTGGCCAGGCCCTGGAGCCTTTATTTTAAATCCCCATTTTGGAGCCTGCTCCAAGCAGAATGTTCTGGGGTGTCCCAGGGGTCTCACCATTCCAAGGCCCTGATGTCCATACCTGGTGTAGGAGCTGGACTGCAAGGCCCTGGAATGCGATGGCTTATTCAGACCAGGACCTCAGCCACTTACACATATGGGGCTGGTGGGGGACAGCCAGAGAGCACCCACTGTTCCAGAGTCTTCCACAACACCTGTGCTCCCCAGGGGGCCTCTGCTCTTGATCGCCTGGTGTGAGCACCTCACCCACCGATTCTACACCATCTCACTGCTTTTCCGAATCATTTCCCCTTGGAATCCAGTGGGGCTTTTAATGACTGTCTTTCCCACTAGTTCCTGGAGAGCAGAGACCAGCCCATTTGTTTTTTGTGTCCTTCATTGTTTTTCTTACACTGCTTCACAGGTTTAGAGAAGGTTCAAAACACGACTGCTGAAATAACAAGTTTCAAAAGCTGCTTTTCATCTCTTATTTTTAAGTAAGGATGTTAGTCAAGCTATTGCCTCCCACAAGACAATTTAAACCTTTTCTCCAATTACTTTTCTCCAATTATGCAACTGAATGTTTTACAGAAGTTTTCCCCATTAGCAGGCACTGAGGAGGTGTGGGGAACCTTGGGGGCCCTTTCCAGCGCCCCAGGAACCACACCAACGTCCTCGAACACCCCTGCAATGCAGCCACCGTCCTTTCCTAATGCTCTCCTTGGAAAAGAAAGAAAAGAGCAAAGTAAAATCTACCAAACTAAGACTTTGGAGTGACTAGTTTTAACCCAGCCCAACCACTCTGCTTTTCTTAGCATCTCTTTTGCTTGCCCCTGATTATGGCCTCCAAACCAACAGGCAAAAATATAGGATGTGGGAAAACTTGAGTAAGAGAACAAAACCAGAATGTTTTCAGCTTTGGGGAAGAAAAATACCTTTTGGGGGGGTTGGTGTTGCTGTTACCTTTTTTCTTAAATTTTAAGACTTATTAGGCATCATCTAAATTGATCAATAGATATTGGTTGACCCTATTCTGTGCTAGGTATTGTGTCACATGCTGTGGACCATAATTTCCGCTTCAATGGTGTTTATTTCTTTAAACATCTGTGTCTGTTAAAAAAACAAAACACTTTTCTTCAAGATGAGTGAAGAATCGCCTTACTTATGTGAGATTTTCATTCTGTGTTGGATTCTGCAAGAGCTTACCATGTCAGTTTCTCTCGTCTTCAAAGGCTCACAGACTACAATTCCCAGACTTCCTTGCAGTTAGATGGAGCCATGTGATTATATTCTGTCCAATGGGATATGTTTATGAACCTCTAGTTCCCACTCTCCATCCTAATCAGTCTTGGAGGCCACGTGTCCTAGATGGTGAAGGTACAAGATGAAGCAGAGCTACCAACCTGTGGTAGACTAGGATGTGAATGAATTATACTCTCACTTTTGTTAAGCCTCTGAAACATGGGGGCCTATTTATTAGCAAAGGTTTTTTTTTGAGTAATATATATTCTTTCTTTAATTTAGTGGGGGGGGGGGCGGTTTGGTTGGTTTAAATTCTTTCTAATGAGCTCTGTACCCTTTTTCTCCATTTTATGAATCTAGCCAGTGAATAATCTTGAGAAGAAATACACATGCCCTGGGCACTGATGCTCTTTCCCACCTTTCCATCAGCTTCCCATGACCTGACCCCAGGTGGTTTCCTTGTGAGTCCATTGGTCACAACACACATCTTCATGGTTGACTTTTTATATCTTTCTCTAGGAAGTTTAGCAAGACCTATTACAGCTCCTCAAGCCAGAGCTACCCTAAAATACACGTATGAAGTTAAATTACTCTGCAGACACTAGTTCTACCTACTGGAGTAGTCATTCCAACGAAACTGGAAAAAGTTGTGGAGCTTGGTTGCTTTCACTCCCTCACCTCCTGTTCTCTCCCTAGCCTGCGGCAGTCTGGCTTCCTCGCCACCACCCCACGGAACCCACTATCACCCAACAGACACCTTCCAGTCCTCCATTGTACGGGTGTGCATGGGAGGGGCGAGAGCAGGCTTGTTCCCAGTCCCAGTGTTTTCTCCCATGTGGGTTGACCTACCTGACAGGTGACTTTGGGAGGGGGGACAGGGCAGGTCCAGTCTTGCTACTCCTTGCTTTCCTCTTGGGAGCAGCTGCTGCAGGGAGCTCCCATCCTGTCTTGCTCCTCGTCATGCCTCTGAGTGGGGAGGCCCACAGTGGTCCAGCACTGCCCGTGCCTGGGTGAGTAAAGAGGCCAGGAGTCAGCACTGGGTGGTGCATTACGGCCACACACGTTAGCCACAGGGTTGGCTGTCAGCTTCATCAATAATGACGGTGGTAGTCAGTTCTCCAAATACTCCCTTCAGTATCTCTTAACCAGCTCAGAAAGCATTTAGGGAAAACAGGAAATCTTTATAAACCCCCATAACTCCCGATATAGTTAGCCAATCTCTCAGATGTCCACACAGAGCCCTTTATTTAGCTCTATCTTATTCCATCTCAGTGTATTGTAATTTCCTATATACTTCCCTATATCTCCCAACTGAACTGTATAATTGTGGTGGGTTCTGTGTTGCACCATCCCGATCTCCCTTCAATGAAAGACACGTTGCCCCAGCTGCTGGGAACACTGTCAGCAGACAGTTTCCAGCTGTCACCCACTTCAGGGAGTGTCTCAACTGTATAAAACAGTCTTGCCCAAGGTCATGCCCATTCCCTGGGCAGCCCATATATCCAGATTGAATCATGGGTAGAAGGGCCTAGTCATCTCAGCCAAACTCAGGACAACTCTGGCCGGCTATTCTAAGTCCTTGGAGTTGGCTGAGACGGTCACTGGGCCTGCTCTGTAGCTGACGAGTATCTGACAGTCTTTTGTGTAACTCAGAAATGCACAGGGCCATCCGCTCAGACCTGAAAGGTCATTCTCTCTGGGTGTGAGACATGAAGGTAGAAATGAAGAAACTAGTGGTGTTGCAATAACCATCATGCGATCCTCAAATTAGGTGAAATGAAGTCTGTCCTGAGCAATGTCCTTGTGAGATAATACAAATCTCTTCTCCCATCTTGCATTGAGGTGGCTTCAGGGCAAGGGGAGTTTCTGCTCCAAGTCTTCTATTTTGGCATGTGTCTCTGTGACTGGTCTAGAGCCAAGTAAATTCCATTTTCCTTAAGTATTGAAACTGACTTTGGTATGCTCTACATTTCAAAGATCTGTAGGTACGGATTATGTTCAAAGCACTGTAATTTAATGAAATAACAGATGTTGACATACTGAACAATCATTTGATTTGAATTTGGGTCTTTTTAAAAAAGTAACCAGTTCCTGTTAAATGGAAGAGAAAGCAAATGAAAAAAAAAAAAAAAAAAAAGGAATGACTATCTGAAAACTGGAAAACAAGGTTATGCGAAGGGCTTCCTTCGAATTCTGTAATTAAAGACACATTCTGAGACCCTCCAGTCTGACATAAATACTTCAGGGGGCAACATTTCTGCTGATTGTCTTATTGTCGGAAGAAAGAAAATAATGGTAGAAATGCAGGGCTTTCAATAACAGATAATTCCAATCCGATGGGTGTGGAAGAGGCCCACTCAGCTCCTAGGAAAACTTTTCACTTCCAATGTGGGCTTCCGGGGGGGGGGGGGGGGGCGGGGGGCACGTGGTGTCCTGTTTTACAGGAAGTCAGCCTAAAGCAGAAAGATACACACTCCTGCCCGGCTAGGCTTCTGCATAAAACACGGCCAGGGGCTTCCTCTGGCCGTAACCATGTCTCATATTCCTAAAGTGTGTCACTTCCTTCCTTACAGTCCTAGATACTCAGCCTTTTCATGTGAACCCCTGCAGGTCAAGGACCAGTTCTGCAGCCCCACACACATTCACTCCTCACTCAACTGCTATTCAGCATGTGTTGTGCCGTGTGTAACCCGTGTAGGATGCAAAAAGAGAGAAGGAGACAGTTTCTTTCTTTCTGTCAACTGAAATGAGCATCTCCTATGTTGTGTGCAATATGTATGGGAAGCAAAAAAAAAAAAAAGAGTAAAGATCATTCATAGATCCTCATTTAAACGAGATTAGAGTCTGGTGGAGAAAAATATATATGTACCTACCAATAATAGTCTGTACGAAGAAAGTGGTGGTTGACCAAGATAAGCAATTTGGAGGAAATAGAGATGACACCAGTGGCACCTCTCTTCTTGAGCAGGTGAGTGGGGCGTGGCCAGATCACATCTGGAGAAGGAGCCTCCCTGACACATGGGGAGATGGACTTCTCTCTGAAGGATGACAACTGACTTTCTCTTCAAAGCACATGCCCTTTATGCCATCATACTTCTCCCAAACCTTTTTTCTCCCCAACCTGATAGCTGTCTGCCCATTGCAGAGGAGACAGAATGAGGTGGAGTGAGGAAGATGGGCTTTTTAGTTAGACAGACCTGGCTTCCAATTTTATGCCTGCCACCTTCTAGCTTCTAGTTCCCTGAGTAAATTATCTGACTTTTCTAAGCCCTCAGTTTTCTCATCTGTGAAAGGGGTCATAAACCAGTGCTCAGAGCCCAGGAGGATTCCCTGGAAAGCATGCAGCCTGGAGCTTGGCACATCCGTATGGAAACAGGGTTTTTTCAATACTTTCTTTCATCAGAAAAACCCAGCTGAGCAAGTTCCCAGTGCTACTGTCTGGTCCCTCCCTGACTAGGGGACATACAGGGACCGGGTTTGGGTGTGGCTGTTGCTGGGAACTGGCTGGTG